TTGTGTGGTTTCTCCTTTTTGCAGTGAAAGGATTTAGCATAATTCAGCGTCCCAAAGATACTTAGCTACTGTTTAGCTGGGTGCAGCTGATTAATGTTTAGGTAGCTGAGAGAAATAACGAGCTTGGGAATGAACATGAAGAGCTGCTGCCACACTCCCAAGGAGAGGGGGAGGATGCAAGGGCAGCACTAGCACACCTCAGGGGGAGGCTCTTAGTCACCAAAACACCACAAACACAGCTCACCAGGAAGATCCCTTTCACTGATGCTTGCAAGACATCGCTCTGTACTCTGGAAGTGTTTGTGTGATGTACAGAAACTTGTCCACATACAACCTCATATAGAAGAGCAGACCCAGACACATACATGCATGCAAACATCCATTAGCAATTTAGAAGACTTTGACCCCACTGACTGTAGTTCTGGGTCTGCTCTGTGTGCAGGTTTAAAGGACAGTTCAGACATTCCAAAATATGTGAAACAGGAAATCAGCTTTCTCATTCTAAAAATCATTCAAGGTTGAAAACACCAAGAGAAGGGAATTGAAGCCAGTGGTATTGACTGTAGGTACTCTGTATGTGCTGCTGAAAATTGTTTCAATTTGCCTCAGTTGTGGGTTTTTAGCTACAGTACTAAGGCTACAACTTTGAATACAAAGCAAAGGGCACAATCCATTCTGAAATTCCTATGACAGCTAGATATACAATTTTTCTAAAGAACTGCATGAGGTACATTTCCTAACAGCCCCACAATTTTAGAAAGAACATTTTAAAAAGCTTATCAAAATATGTTACATAAAAAAAAAATAAGATGAAGTTTAACAGAGACAGTGACATCAACTGTTATCTGTTTTGCTGTTGCTTCTGCAACCTTATTCATGCACATCGATATTTTTTCATGACAGATACGGGATATTGGACTCTGTAATCTGAAGACTGCCATATTAGTTATCTTGCAAGACATTCATTGAATAAAAGAAGTGGGAGAACATTAGGAGATATATTTGTACCTAACCTTGAGATAAAACTTAATTATCTGTCTCTTTATCACCAATCTCTAGCGCAGCTAGCAGCTTATTTATTTTTTATTTTAAATGTTTAGAATGCAATTGTGCTCACTAGTTATCTTATTAAAAATGAAAGCAGCTGATTTTTTCCATGTCATTCTAGAAAGAAATGATTTTACAGAATATCTTTCAGAAGTATTTTCTGCTGGTCTGTGCTTCTGTCTAATCTGTATGGGCACAGAGCATCACATGAAAAATGCATGCACATAGCAGGCACAAAACCTAACACTACCTGTGCCTCAGCTTGGGCTGATAAGAAGTTCTGTACATTGCAGTAATAGCTAAATCTTGCATGCCCCTTTGCCTTTGCTGGCAAAATCTGCCTTCAGATGAGTCACAAGCTTAAGTCTGCCAGGTTTAACAAATGTCCACAGAGGATGAACAGATAGAATTATTTATTTCTATTAAGAATACCACAGAGTATATTTTACAGGAAGTAATTTCATTATCTGTTGAAGTGCTAAGGTTCAGAATTTCAATACACAAAACTCAATGATGCATTAATTTGATCCACCTCATTAGCATCCAGGCACATTTAGAGAAAAATGCCAGAATTGTTACAGTTGGTTCCAGTCATCAAAGTGATGGGCCCTCAGGGCTTTAACTCTGTAATTAACAGATAATATATATTTCATGAATAATATATATAATAAAATATATATACTGTATGATGTGCAGTGTACATAATGTATCTCATTATACATGATTAACATATAAAAAGAGGAAATATTTAAAATCATATTGCCATGAAGTCAAATTAGACTGCAAAAACGTTCCAAATTTGATCACTCTATCTAGAAGAGAGAAAACTTATAAAGAACCACAGCTTTCCATAATAGGGTACTTATTACTACAGCTCTAAGAAAAGTAGGAGAAAAAGATCAAGGGCACCTCATTTGTCTTGCTTCTGCAAATGAATATGCAAAAAGCAGGCAGAGAAACTGCAGCAACTCTTACAAGCCTGCATCCTTTTCTACTAACAGGTAAGGTCCCCTTTCAGATATTCTCTTCTATTTATTTTTACTATTTCAGCTACTTTTTAGAATGGACCAAGCTTGGTGAAACAAATGTGGTGAGGCAATTTTTATGATTTCTTGGTAAATTCCACATGATAGATTTATGTACTGATTTTTGGCATTAGATCCCACTTACTGACTCACAAAAGGTACCTGTGTGTCTCCTACAGCAAGTGCATATATAAGGAATACAAAACCACTCCCATGTGAACTGGAAACACCTTCTATCAAACACAACCCTTACCAAAGAAGGCTGAAGGACAACAGCTGAGCACAGAGTTCTGACCAAACACATTCACATATTTGTATTGTATACTTCTCTAAGTCTATAGAGAAGGATCACTGAAAAACCACCTCTTGTTTAAAAGTGTCTCATAGACTGTATCATTGGCTTCCTATCACTGACAGTCCTGACATATAAAAAAGCCTAACTCCATCAGCTATCTAATGATGTCAAATGGAGACAAATTAACACCTATTCACTCAAACTCAGGTGTTTTCCCTTAAGTACCCGAGGAACAATATGTATAAAGGCTGGCATTGGCTAATAGACACAAGAACACTGACTAGTTAAAACATTTCTTATAAATTACTGCCTTGAAATGTAAGCATCCTTAATGGATTTTATGGAAATATTATGACAAAGAATAATTCAGACTTTAATTTCATTAAAATCAGGAAAGGTAAAATGCCCCCAAAATGATCATTATCATTCTGAAAGAACAAACAATTACTAATTATGAGTTTAGCATGTTCTTGCTTAAAGTGATTCTTAATTTTACATATACTATGCCTGTTTTCTACATGAAGTGAAACTGATCCTTACTATTTTGAATCTAGTGCTCACCATTGTGAAATTGTATTAGACATTTCAGTGCCTGTGTCTCTAAGATACATGGTGCCCTGTGGGAGAAAAATAGCTTGGAATAATTTAACTTAGCTATTAAACAATTATACCCATGTTCTCTTACAGCTAGAAGGTGGTTTATCATTTCTATTGCTAAACTTAAAATAGCTACTATTTATTTTGACTGTCTGGGAACCTCTACATGACTGGTACAACAAAGATTCTAATTAGAGTCATCTTTCCTGTAACCTGACTGTCTATTGTTTTCCAACTCAAACAAGATTTGAATTTGAAGAACATACGCTATGCTGGGTCTATGTAACTTGTAACAATTTTCTACCTTAATAGTCACACTGGAGCATTTGAAAATTGGCAATTATTCATTTTTGCCATGAGCTGGTAAGTGAAGGAGTGAAATTCTCATCTCTGAAGAATGGTGTAGTAAATAATGGATTAGCAAAGTCAGGCACTCTCAAGGAAAGAGAGTGTTTGCTTACACCTAACAAAGCTAAGGATCCAATATGGCACTCCTTCTCATCACAATACACATTTTATGTTAACTTTAATCAATTTCATCTCTAGAAATAAAGTGTTTTAAAAAGAAGAAAGCTAGCTAGTTTTCTAACTAAAATCATGTTAGTAAAAATCTGACTGCAGAATCAGGCAGAAAAACTCAATTCATCTTCCTACAAACTTTTAACAAGCTGCGACACCATCACACAGTCATCTATAAATGCTACTTGCTAAAAAAAATTGTTTTAAAATAAAATAATCTACATCTGTTTAAAAGAGTACACTGTGGATTTTACTCAGAAAATACATAAAAAGTAGAATTTGTATTTTCTGACTTTCACTATAAAACTGAGGTCTTTAGGCTGAATTAACCATTCAGACTTGTCCATGATGTGTGGGAAATGAGAGGCACCTCCATAAGACAATTCATCCTGTCCTCACACAAACATTCAAGATGGACAGGAGGAATTGTTCTCTGGAAGTTCTTTTTCAGCCTCCCTCCTAAATCTGTATAGGGACAATATATAACTTTGGCTAGTAAGTAATTTTTTGTTAGCTAAGCTTTAAAAAGATGAATTAATCTTCTCATGCCTTTGGCTTGAAATCCTGGTTTTGTGGTAAGGTTTTGCTAGGGTTTAATATTTTGTTTTTTCGTGTGCAGACTGACTGTTTTGGCTTGCAGTTTCAGCATCTCAGAGGCATGTGGCAAGAACTCCCACTGTCTTAC